ATAAAGTTAGTATTTTTGTGTGGGTTTAGTCATGAAAACCCCAAAAACCTAAAGAGAAAATGGGGTTAAAATGGAAAATGGTTAAAATGCTAGAGGTAGAAGATGAGTTTACTTTCTAATGTTGAAAATATGATGAATATCTTGCTAGGCGATCCTGGCATAATGTACTGTGGGACTATACCACATTCCTCTAGGTATTTCGCAAAAGGCCCTAGACGTTGTTCACCTGAACCGTCATATCTACCGTAGTATTCACCACCACGATCAGATCTGACGCACTTTATCCTTTTGCAGAGTTGATTTTCAACTCCAGCCTTAAAAGTTTTGAACACGTCCACCGATTGGGACTTTTCATGAATAAGAAAAATATATGCATAACGAGAATAATCGTCTATGAATGATATGAAATATTGTTGACCATTCCAGGAAGCCGTAGGGAATGGCCCACATATGTCCGTATGTATCAATTCTAAGACGTCTGAAGCTCTATATGCACTAGTTTTCGATTGTTTGGTCTGTTTACCTTTTATGCATTTAACACAAACCTTATGGTCTGTGAAGTCAATGGAATCCAAGATCTCATCTGACACAAGACGCTCAATTCTCTATTGAGAAATGTGACCTAGGCGCTTGTGCCATAATGCACCTGAATTATTATTATCAATTTTACGTTTAGTACCACATGATTCCACATTCAAGGTTTCGCTATAATCAGCTACAGTAACAATTTAACCGAATTGTTTCCAAATGAACAATAATAACCAAATTTGTCCAAATAAGAAACAGAAATTAAGTTCCGTCTAAAAGACGGTACAACAAAGGTGTCTTTCAAATACAAATAAAAACCAGTACTTAATAATAACCTAAAATGTCCTATAGCTTCAACTTCCACCGATTTTCCATCGCCAACGAATATGTATCTTTCAACAAAATTAGGCTTTCGGTAGTTCAAGCAACCCTGCAGTGAAACACTGATGTTAGAGGTTGAACCGGAGTCTAACCACCAAGTGTTTCCAGGTACTGAAGTTAAATTGACCTCATAACAGACCAAAGCAAGAAATGTACCTTTCTTAGCACGCCAAGCGTGATACTTTTCACATTTCTTCTTTAAATGTCCAGATTCTTTGCAAAAGAAACAAACAGTAACCTGTTTCTGCTTCTTTTGCATTGGACCCTTTGCAGTTTCATTCTTGGGCTCCATAATTATTTCCCTTGTCTTTAGAGGTACTAACAAAATGGGCACTTTCTGTCCTCTCTTGCTTCATCCTTTCCTCTTCTTGCACACAAAATGAAATGAGCTCATTAAGAGACCATTTCTCCTTTTGACAGTTATAAGAAATCTTAAACTGACTGAATTGTGCTGGAAGAGAAATTTAAACTAGATGGATGAGCAAGTCTTTCGACATCTCAAGCTTAAGAGCCTTCAGCTTTGAGACAATGTTGGACATTCCCATAATATGTTCCCTTATATTTCCCTTGCCTTGATACCTCATGGAAATCAAGTTCTGTAACAGAGTACTTGTTTCCGCCTTATCGCTTTTTGCAAAGCGCTTTTCTATCTCAGCAAGGAAAAATTTGGCACTTGTCGTCTTATCAGAGACAGTACCCCTAAAGACTTCTGGAATGCCGCGCTTAATGATCATGAGACACATGCGATTCGAGCGCTCCCACTTCTCATAATCCTTCCTCTCTTCAGAGGTACTGGATTCCAAAGGAGGAGGTGGTTGCTCTACCCTTAATGCATAGTCTAGATCCATGCAGCCAAGAACAATTTCCATGTTCTCTTTCCAGTCCTCAAAATTTGTTCCATTGAAGACCGGAACCGAATTCAGATTTGTAGATATAGAAGCAATAGTTGGTGCTGAATAGAACAAAAGACAATATATTAAAACATGCTCACAACTCAAAAATATCAATATATAAACAATGGTATGTCCCAATCAAGATACCTAGCGCACCATTAATATCAAGTCTTTGGACAGTAATATTAACTGCAAGTGGTACTCTTGTTGCAATGATCAACATTGATAATAAGACATGTCAACGGACGAACCCCTCTTTGGATTGATTCATCAGTCACATGTATAAAAACTGAATAATTATCACATGTTTATCATCGCTAGTGTGCATGATCTTCGGCTAAACATTAACTTTCCTTAGGGCCAGCTAATATCCGCATGAATAACCACACACACCAACATCTAATATTCCTTGTGAGTTATATCCATGAAAGAGGTCACTTGGGCGACATTCCACTTCAATTGGCTCACTTGAAATAACAGACAACTCAGCGGGTAACCATATCATAGCCATGTTTAATGCATAAAGATATCAAAGCCCCAAAATTTACTTGAAAAAGACCCAAAAGTGTCCCTGAATCTCGCTTGAGCGAGGGGGTCTCGCTTGAGCGCGAGGGGTCTCGCTTGAGCGAGAGGGGTCTCGCTTGAGCGAGAACCCAACCTTTTTATCGTAGCTACTACCTCAACGTCGCTTGAGCGAGAAGGGTCTCGCTTGAGCGAGAACCCAAACCTTTTGTCGTAGCTACTGCCTCAATGTCGCTTGAGCAACAGGGGTCTCGCTTGAGCGAGAACCCTTCGTCTACTCGAGGGTTTTGACGAAGATGGAGGTTCTCCATCGGATTTTTTCGCAAAATTTACCCCAAAACAGCCAAAAAAAATACATTATGATTGCTATTGTTTCAAAATAATGTTATAGCAATCATCAATTTTGCAAAACAAAACTCAATTTGGGGAAAACATGAACAACATCATACAAAACCCAAATTTCACATATGAACCAAATTGGGGTGGCTCTGATACCACTTATTGGATATTTCCGATTAATCCTAATCGTATCCCCGAAACCGAATGATTAAGACATTGTTCCGAAACCAAATGTTTATGCCCATACGTAAACCATAATGGAACAATCCTAATCCAGACCGAAGAAAACCCCAATTGGTTTCATAGTGAAGAAGAAAATGCATACCTTGGTTAGCCATTCCGAATGCTCTGAGGTATATGGGTTGTAGGATGTTTCGGTTGCTAGAGCCTGATGGTTTTCCGTTCGCTCCGCTAGAGGGGAATTCAGAGAGAACGAGAGTGCTTCTGATGTTCTTTTTTTTTTTTGCAAAAGTGAGAATGAGAGGGCCTCTTGCCTTATGCCTTTCTCTTTGGCTTTATATATGTTGGTTTTGTGACTTAAGTCACATATCCTTATAAACCAATCCTTATAACATCAGTTACTCAATAAACCCATTGCTCTGCAACTGGGGACCATAACCCATAAATGTAACATTAACGGTTACCACTTAAGTTGCAATATTCTAATTCAGTCCCTTCATCAAACTAGAAATTGCCCGAAGGTATCTACACTCATAATATTTCATGACACATATGCCCTTAGCCACCAAATTAATCCATAAGACCATTTTATATATATTGGTTAAATTAATAATGGCTATAACACAATTATAGAATTATATCTGTGACCCATAAATTGTCAGAAATTCCAACATATTGGGCATATGTTATTGTTTGTTTCCTTTCTTGAGAGAAGATTTTGTAAAGGCCACATCTATCCAATGAATGATCGTGTGGTTCTTTCCTTATTAGGAACATGCCATTGAATGGCCGAGTGGTTCTTGCCTCATTAGGAGCATATGAGTAATGACTTTCCTTAGAAAATTAATTGCAACGAATTTCGTCTTGTGGAAACATAGGCTGGTCGGCCACACCTTATATATTACAAGCCATGATGAATAAACAATTTAGAGTTTGAATATGGATCAAAATCTTGTCTTGTTTAGTTGAGTCTTGCTCCTAACACCTTAGAAATTATCAAGAACTTGTTCTTATGACATTAATTGGCTTATACATCTTGGTGTGGTGCCTTACCACTTGTTCTTATCAAGGATCCTTCCTTGTGTCGAACCCCATCGGCTTATCAAACTTCTTTGTTTGTGGCACCACCACTTCCAATCTCATCCATCTTCTTTTATCCAAACACATACAAACAAAATTCAAAAAAAAAATATCAATACACAAACTCCGTCCCATCACTCATTCATAAACAGAATTTCAATCCATAAACAAACGCCCATAACTCACTCCTTTGTTCTCATCATAAATCCCATACACATTTAAGCTCAAATTGCATGTACAAAACCGAGCCACTCATACACAAAATCAATTCCGCATAGTTTATTATTATCAAGCAAAACGTTCAACAATAAAATCAACCCCCTCAAGGAGGTTTCTATCAATTTAAACAAAACAAGTTACTCCTACAAAACAAATTAAACATTTTTAATAGGTACCCAATACGATTTTGGTCCTATAGGGTTAGTATCTTTCTCAGCCTGTTTATATCGGTAAGTTGGAATACCAACTTTTCTAATATAACATGAATTAGGTGTATGACCTATATTTTTACAATAAAATCAAGTAGGTTGATGTTAATGTATCCTTGGGTTTGTCTTAAACAAAGGATTTTTATAGATATTTCCTTTTGAAAATGTTGCATGCTAACCTTACTAGTTTTCACAAAGAAATTTTTCAACTTGGTAATTGCATGTTGGCTATTAGAATACCCTATACCTCTTTGGTCATTAGTATGCCTTTTTAAGAATTGGCATTTAATAGGTCCATATCCTTTCTTAATATGATTTTATAATTTTCCAAAACATTAATATCGTTTTTCTATTTTAAAACAAGTTTTGGAAGTTTCATATATTTTCAATGAAGTTCATCATAAGAAGGTATATCTAAGTTCTCAGAATCACTCACCTCATCATCATCAGACTGATGAGATGCCATTACATATAGGTGCTCTTGTTCCCTATTCTCTTGTTTAGAGTTCAAACTAGTGTCATTTTCATCCCATGCTTTGTAGCCTTTCCTTTTGTCTTCTTTTCTCATTTCTCTTAAATGCATTCTTATTTAGAGTGGGTCATTCTACTTTGATGTGATTAGGCTTTCTGCACTCAAAGTAGGTGAAGTTTTTTCCCTCAAGATAGTTGGAGCTCGCGGGCTAGTTCTATCAGGTAAAGCCAATGATTAAAGGCATCAGGGGCGCAACACCCTCGATCTATTCTCAAACTTTAAATATGTAGGACAACGTGGCTGCTTCGTTGAGCCACGCCACAGAATCGAGAGCTCCAAGTAGGCCATTTTTGGTAAGAAGAACTGGCAATGCGGGATGAACCGAAATCTGGGTTACGGTACCCAACTATGCGCTAACCTAGACCCCACAAAGGGTGTTGGTCAATTAAGACAGCAGAACAGTGGTCATGGAAGTCGAAATTTGCTAAGGAGTGTGTAACAACTCACTTGCCGAATCAACTAGCCCCAAAAATGGATTGTGCTAAAGCGCATGACCTATACCCGGCCGTCGGGGCAAGGACCAGGCCCCGATGAGTAGGAGGGTGCGGCGGTCACTGCAAAACCTGGGGCGTGAGCCCGGGCGGAGCGATCATCGGTGTAAATCTTGGTGGTAGTAGCAAATATTCAAATGAGAACTTTGAAGGACGAATAGGGGAAAGGTTCCATGTGAACGACACTTGCACATGGGTTAGTCGATCCTAAGGGACAGGGGAAGCTCGTCTGATAGCGCTCTAAGCGTGCACTCTGAAAGGGAATCGGGTTAAAATTCCTGAACCGGGATGTGGCGGCTGACAACAACGTTAGGGAGTCCGGAGACGTCGACAGAGACCCCGGAAAGAGTTATCTTTTCTGTTTAACAGTCTGCCCACCCACATATTGAAGCTTCGCTGCTCCTTATGAATCTCTTACTTGAGTCTATTGAGAAACTTTGTTTCTATTAAGAAACTTGTTGAACTTCTTGACCAATAGGTTTCTTGTCTCTCATTTTGTCCTCATCTGAATCTTTTCCGGATGTATCACATGAATTTGCCTTCCCTTTTAAGGATATGGTACTATGTTTCTTCTCTTGGTCTTAACTTTGTTCAAAGAAAGAAGTCAATGGCATTTTTGAAAGACTATTTTTTTCAGCTATGATTGTTACCTTTGATACCAAGTTCTAGCTAAAGACCTAAGGACTTTAAGATTAAGGTCACTATTAGATATGACTTTTCCTAGAGAAATAATAAGGTTATTAGTAAATATTAGTAAGATGAGTGAATCTCTTTTGGAGCTCAATAATTTTTTCTCCTAATTTCATCCCGAACATCTCATACTCTTGTAACAAAATATTGAGTCTTGACCTCTTGAAATCTCTAGTCCCCTCATGAGTCATTTCAAGAGTATCCCATATTTTCTTAAATCCATTTTAACTATGCTCAGAATGTATGGACCCTCTTCTATTGTGTTACATATATTAAAATCCTGAGATTCTATAAAGATTCTCATACGAATTTTCCAAAAATTGTAGCATTCTCCAACAATGCTTACAAACTAAGAAAGTTAAGATCTAGGGAATGATTTACCTAACCTTTGCTCTCGTGCCAATTATAAGTCTAGGTAGCAAACTAAGAGGGGGTGAATTAGTTTTCTTGCTTTTCTGCAACTTTATGCAAATTTTTGCAACTTGTAAAAATGTAAGAATCAAATATACAACGGAAGACTAAGTTAGCAAAAATCAAGTGCATAAGTAAAAGAGTAAGGGAAAATATATAACACTGATGCATCATGGTTCACCTTCTATCCACAGAAGGTTACGACCAGTCATCTTGCAAACGACAAGATATTTTATTATGTAATGAATGTTAATCATTATAAATCGTACGCCAAGACTTTGTCTCAGATAATCACTCACCAATCTCACCAATTTAGAAGTACACCACTTCTGAATTATCATTTTTTCCCTTCACCTCACCCTATGGTGAATTTACAAAATTTTAATAGATTATAAGTTGTATCTAGCGCGAAGGATTGATGAGAAATATAACTATTTTGATTTCAATACTTGTAAGTCAATCACTATAAGTAATACAAAATGCTCAAGTGTTTTCTAGATGAAAATCAAGTGCATAAAATCTTGGAATGAAAACACTTAGACAACTTTTGAGAGAAACAAAAAAAATTCTCAAGTTGTTTGCAAAATGTGTGTAAAAAGTCGTATGAATGATTGATGAAAGTTTTTGTATGCATCTGAATGCCAAGAGTCTTTAAATGGGCTTCCAACCAGCCATCAGACCAATTCCAAGAGGTAGAAGTCGATTAGAGAGACATTAATTCAATTAGGAAGAAGTTGTTTCAGTTTTAATCTGAAAAATAAAGTAACAACTACGTGTAATCGATTACTTGCCTAGTGCAATTGCTTACATGAAGCTTCTGTCCAATGAGTAATCAGTTACTCGATTGAATAATCAGTTAATGTACCTCATTTTTGCTTGGTAACTTTTTACTCTGGTTGGATAACCAATTACTTTGTCCTAGTTATCTATTACCGGCTTCGAGTAACCTATAATTAATTTTTTTGAAAATTTGTTTTGAATCTTTTGAAATCATTCTCAAACAAAGTTAACTTTTTCAAAAACATAAAAAAAAAATCCTAATAGCATTTGAACATTACTTTAAGTAAATAAACTTAGGATTAGAAATACCTAACTTAGAAAGCTAAAATGTATTGTTCACTTGATGAGCATGCTTCTAAATCTTCAAGATCTTCAATCATTTTTCTTCTTTTTGTTGATGTTGGTGTCTTCATCAAAACCTAGCTAAGTTTAGGAGCATGATCTTCTTAATACTCATCAATTCATTGATCCATCATTCAATTTTCGTTTTTATATCATGTTTTCATATTAATGTCAAATGATTAGAGTTTGATTAAAAATTCTACGTTTTTCATAGTGTTAATCTCTACACAACAAAAGAGTTTTAAATATTTTAATACAAAAGATGGGGAAAGGTGAGGAGTGTGGTATCTTCTTAGAAGTCAAGGAAAAAAAAGAGTCAAAGTGTCTCTAGAAGTTGAGGGACATCAACATTTTGGTGGTCAAACAACTGAACTAGGATGATTCTAGAAGTGTGCTTCTATATGATATTTGATTATATATAGTGAAAAATTATCAAATAAGAAAGAGGGAATGAATATAGCATTGATGAATTGGAGTGAACCACAATTAAATTTGCGTGTCAATTTCTTTACCCGGTTACTATTTAATTTTAATTTACTGTTTTCTTGTACATCATTATGTTCTAAATCATTGCAAAACATTACTCTTAATCAAATCTCTTATAGTTACAAAGTAGAACAATTGATCCATAATCATTTACCAATCAATTATAAAGTAGAACAATTGGTTCAGCATTATGTATAATCAATTATCGATTAAATATGACTTAAAATACTTGTTTTATAATCCGTTATTTTTTAGTAAATAACTTTGCCTACAAAGGCAGTGAAATATTTGTTGTATACTCCCTCTATGTAATCGATTAAGATTAGAAATATTTGTTGTATAATCTATTATTAATAAGTTGCCTATATGAAAATAAGATGTTCATATTGAAGATAGAAAGTAACTTCACATCTATTCAACCATCTTTAAGGTGTGTAGAACCCTTGTTTACCCAACATAAAATTATTAAAATTAAATCTCTGTGGAAATTACCAAAGGCCCATAATTGCATAAAATTGACATAATATCCTACACCATGGTCGGGAAATTATTGAAATACACATGGTTGGGTAAAAAATTAAGTAAATATTACTTACTGGCATTATAAAGTAACTAATATTACTTTTATTTATATTTAACTTGGGATTTGAAATTGAAGAAATTAACTTTTTCAAATTGTTCTAATATTTTATTTTATACATTATAAAGAAATCATTTGTTCTTATCCACTTTAATCATTTGCTATTATATTGATCGATTAAAAAATGTATTTTTGAAAAGAGTTATTTTTCGAAAGTAGTGAATCGACACAATTCAACTCTCTTTTTGTGTCTTGTTGTACAACTTCAATTTGCTCATTTTATCTACTTCTAAATACTAACAACATCAATAATCGTGAATGAAGATTTCTTCCTTAAACGAGTCTCATTTCTTATTTTATATGCTCTTCTAAAACTTAAGAACCTCATGTCAATATTCACTTAAATGATCAATTATTATATTTGTCCTTAAATGAACCCCACAATCATACCTCACATTTAAATTTGTCATATAATTAAAACCAAATTCTTTACAAATAATTGAATTTAGTGAAATAACACCTAATTGATTAATGATTCATCAAAATACATTAAAACATAAAATTTCAAATGTAGATGACAAAAATACATTAAAAATTTAATAATTAGTATTTCAAACTAATTAAGACCTATATGGAGTGATACATTCTTTTTGCAACACAAGATATATTGCCATAAAGCAAGGCCAAGAACCATTCTTATTATTTGATATAAATAACTTATAGATAATGAATTAGTCTATATGACTATTTTTACTGAATATTTGACTTTTTTGACAATGCAATAATACTCAAGTGTGTCACTAGAAATAAGGATCACATCTTTATAAACTTGTCCAAAATCAGCCACTTTCACATTTTAACAAGTAAGATAAATATATTATTTTTTTTTTTTTTTTATTTATGTGTCAATTTGTATGTTTTTTTTATTAGAAATGATGAAGGGAAAAGTATAATATTTATATATTTAAGAATCATTAATGATAATAGTCATACATTTTGAGACAAGAAGAAAATATGATTAAAATTTCTACCTGAAGTTCAGTGTTTGCCAAATTGCTCCCAAAGAGTAAATCAATAATTAGAAATGTGGCGAAGGAGTTTCAGCAGCAGTGCTGCCACTGCCATCGCCGCATTGAAGCATAAAAAATGGGACGCTTTAATTATCGGCGGTGGCCACAATGGCCTAACAGCCGCAGCCTACCTCGCCCGCGGAGGTCTCTCAGTCGCAGTTCTGGAGCGCCGTCACGTCATCGGCGGCGCTGCTGTAACCGAAGATATCATCCCTGGTTTCAAGTTTTCCCGATGCAGTTACCTCCAAAGCCTTCTCCGTCCTTCGATTATAAAGGAACTGGATCTGTCGAAGCATGGATTAAAGCTACTCAAGAGGAGTCCCTCATCGTTTACACCTTGCCTCGATGGAAGGTACCTTCTGTTGGGGCCTGATAAAGAACTCAATCACTCTGAGATTTCGAAATTTTCAAGAAGAGATGCAGAGGCTTATCCAAGGTTCTATTGTATCTAATTTCTTTCTCTATTTTTTTTTTGTTTCTGTTCTGAGTTTTGGAAATTATGTATTTTAAAATTCTAAATCTTGGTAAACTTTTAAGGGAATAATAGGTTGATTGGAAGGGAATAAAAATAGAGATATTGAATGTAAATATGTAATGGAATCTAGGATCCTATCATATTTGAGACAGTCTAAACAATGGAACCTTGGATTATTGGGATTGGATTCAAATGGCCACTTCAATAAATTTGTGCTGTTGAATGAAGATCTTAGCTAATTAGATTTCAAATTGTATTTTGATTCTGATTTTCACCCAAACATTTAATCTTCATCCAGTGGCTCGGATTTGATGAACTCACCAGTTGTTTTCGAAGTTACTGAATCCAATCATTACATTTCCTGAATTAAAAGTCATAGATTTATGGATATCCTGATACAAGATGCCTGTATGGACACCGTAGACTGATATGAGCATGGGCCAGTATCGGAGTATCTATGTTGGTGGTGGAGCAGACGTGCCATATGCAAATGCGAGTGTCGGTGTCTTGTGGGTGTTAATTTTTGTTGTACTAATATTTGAATTGTTAAATCTATTCCCTCTTCATATGATTCGTTAGATGTATGGTAATTTCATGCTTAGTGAGATTTTTTCTAAAATGTTCTTGGGAGGCTGGAAAAATACCAGAATATCTGTATATTTGTTTATGTTTTCTTGCAATATT